CATCCTACAGCATCCTTAGGTTAAGCAAACATGCCCGGAATGTAAGTCATTCTCTTAGGGTGATGGAAGGCTATGTGGTCATTCCACGGTCTTCGTGGAAACTCTTGGCGGTATTGACCCCTTTGGACATGTTCTAACAGCCAGACTTGTAACAGCAAATTTCAACCCTCAAAGAATCTGGACCCCTTTTGACAGCGTTCCAAGGCCCGGTACATATCTGCAATGATCATAAGGACAATAGTATATGTCTGTCTCTCGATCCCGTCCATCAAAGTTTTGGCCTCCATGGCCAGCCTGGTATGGATTCTATCCCCTTGGATTGGGAATACCAGCGTGCCCAAAAAAAAATGAACACGAAGACCCTACGATGAACCCAGCCCAAGGAGGTGATTGAGAACTCATCATCAAAAATACGGTAAGAGCTACCGTGACCGTATCTTTCATAGAGGAAGTCAAAAGGTACGTAGGAGTTCTTCAGGCACTCCAAATCATCATTTTTCTTCAGCCCCATCATCTTAAGGAACCCTCTAGCGGTGCGATTTTCAGGTGCTAACAGACCAGGACTATCCCAAGGCAACCCAGCGGACAACTAATTAGAGTAAGGTTGCTATAGAGGTCTAGACTGGGACCCTCAAGCGGAAAACTTGAGGGGGAAAGGCACGGAATCGTCGAACGCACCACTGATCGACTAGTTTTACCGCAAATATGCCTTTTTGAATTTAAAGGGTGATATATAGGAAGAGCGCAAACACTCATCAAGCGTTGCTATAGGATAGATTACGCACGAGTAGAATATGATGTTGAGCATGATTTATGCAACAATAAATAGCATGTTGTCAAGTATTTTCACGTTAAGAAAATGATAAATACAGTATTTAAATAATTGAAAGACAATTATGGAAAAAGAAAACAAAGAGACAAGTCAGTTTCAGAAAACAAAGGAATCATAAATGCTTGAAAATAAGCACTTAAATCCAAATAAGGGGGGAGGGTGCACGGGATAAGGCACGCTTAAGACTAATTAACAAAAAATTAAGTTTGTTATGGTAAGAGCCTAAAATATCCCCAGCAGAGTCGCCATGCTGTCGCGCCCCCTTTTTCCTTCGCGGAGTCCGGCTTTCGACATTCATGGGGGGAACAACTCGTTTCCTTTTGGGAATTGGGTATTTGAAGAGTCGCCGCCTAACGGATTAAGGTGTGTTAGGACACCTAGAGCAATTAACTCATGTAACCAGTTTGCATTACCAGAGATCAGGGTAAGGGCTCGAAATAACCTTGAGGGGAAGGTGTTAGGCACCCCTCGCGGTCCACAACGGTGGATCCCGGCCGAACTTAGTTATGTGAATTAGTCATGTAACAAGTAAGCGGTATAAACACACATTTGCAAATAAAGGTAGTTTACACAGTCTAAACACATATACAATCAAGGAAGTTTAGATGGTCTAAGCACACGCAAATTAAGGAGGTTTGAGCAGTCCAAGCATACATACATAAACCAAGGAAGTTTAGGCAGTGTAAGTATATGAATTGGGGGAAAGGAAGTCCTAAGTTGATTAGCCTATAGGATCAATCTGTGCAATGCCCGGTACTCCTCCTCAACTAGAGGGGCTACAAGTGACACTAGCGCGCAGGTCATCATATCCTTTTACTACCCATTGCCCTCCCCTTAGTAGTTATATAAGTGAGTTTTTAATTACCAAACTCTAAGCGTGCTTTATCTGTCCCTTCCTTGTGGTCCCGTAGGCGATTAGAACCTCTATACTCAGGCAGTTCTAGACAATCCTAAATTATTTTAAAAGGGTAAAATCTAAGCGACAACAAAGAACACATAGGACTGTCAAATAAGGAAGCAATTAAGGGCTCATGTTTGCCTCCACACATAAACAGATACATAGCACGTCTCAAACAACTGATTTTGGAAGAAATTCAAAAAAAAGGCTTAGAACATGATTTCTAGATGAACATCACAGATACAGAATTATGCAGCATTTGTTCAGGAGCGAAGTGGCAGAACTCTAATTAGTTTGCCTATTGATTTTATAGTCTGTTAAACCTGGACAATTTCACACATAAACGGAACCTGATTTCACAGTTATTTAATTGCCTAAGGCTTGCCTGGCGTGGGTCTGTATGCAGTCATAATCTGGGAACTAATTAAACAATTTGAAGTTATTTAGTCCTATAGGCATGCTGATCTAAGGGATTAAATATTACAAAACTGATTTTATGCATGTTTACACTAAGACATGATATCTATATGTTGGACTGTTTTAAACCTTTTATAGACAGTTATTTATTCAAAACAACGTAGACATGGTTTAGAGCCAATGCAAACAAAGTCCTAAATCATGATTTCTAATGCACATAAAGATGATCATTTTTATTAAGCATGATTACAGCAGCAGTTTAATGGCATGATTTCCAGGTGATAATAACTTATGCAGAGTCAGAGAAAGAAGTGATGAACATGTTTCTAATATGCAAAATATAAACGTGAGTGTCCTAAGGCAGGCTTTCTAATGAAAATATTATAGACTTATGACATGTTTTAATGCAAGTAACATAGCATATGGGCCTAGAGCATGATTTCTATCATAACGTGCACTCAAAATGAATTTCTACTAAGAGCATGATTTCTACTATGTATCAACCTAAAGCATGATATCTACCCAGTTTCCCACAAACATCATAGAAGAACCCTCCCTTTACTAATCACCCCAACATCTGTTTACAAATAAAATTATTACAGACCATAATCAAATGAATTACATAAGCAAATGAAACTATGCTATAGGGAGCCTAAATCAGGCTCAAAGTAAACCTGAGAATGCCAGGCCTTCAACAGAATCTCAGAAGCCAAAGATCTCATAGCCAATAATGTGTGCCTTGGTGTGTCAGAGTTCCCTAAGGACCTCAAGGATCCCGGGCAGTGCTCACACCAGGACCATTTCTCAAATGGGAATTAGTTATGTGCAGTGTGGAAGGACTAGCCCTGGTATGCCCTAGTTTTGGCGCCGTTGCCGGGGACTTAGAAATTAACTGTTTTTCTAAATTAGACTTTTACTTTTATCTTTACAAGTTTTTTTTTATTCTTCTCTTTTGTAAATATTTTTAATTTTATAACTATTTGACTTTTCTCCTAGTGTGTTTCTAGTTCTCTCAACATGACATCTGGGAGGTCTGAATTTGAATATGGGAGTAAGGGTTGGTATTGGGACGTATATTCTCGATTAGGCGAATATGCAAAACGACGTTGTCTTCTGACAACGTTGGTGAATGATTGATCTAAGGAGAGAGATGAACTTGCACATAAAATTGATAATTTTGGCTTGGTTGTACATAACTTAGATGCAGATTTGAGTGCAAAAGTTGATGCGTGTAACGCCCAACAATTTAATGATGAGTTGTGTGAAGCTGAAAAAGATCTGCTAGACCAAATTGAGCAGCTAAAACGAGAATACCAAGCATTAGACCATATTCCCCTTGATGATGCCAATATTGAGAAGAGTGCTCTAGAGTCATGTGAGAGAGTAGATAACATTACTTTGGGAGACTTGAGTGTGTGTATATATGGGGATGTAAATAATAGTACAATTCATGAGTTTGGGCGCAATAAACCTCATTCCAATCATTTTTCTAAATTGTGTTTAGATAGTGAGATACTAATCAAGCCATCTGAGCCTGGGGGGAGTCAAAGAGTGAGGATGAGAGTGCCTATATTCTTGAATTTGTTGTGCCAAAAAACAAAAATTACATCCCTCATCTAAAGGCCAAGAAGTGCAGAGTCAAAAAATTATTACTTGGCCTGGTTATCATTGTAGCCCCACCACTGGAGCATAGTCGCAGACTGGATGCCATGTTAGGGATACAATTCATATGTTCGAGGTGGAGGAAAAAGTGGTTCACGTCGTGCCGCGACGTTAAATTAGGCGCTTGTTGGGAGGCAACCCAACTTTACTGCTTTCTTTTATTTTTGTTTATTTAATTTATTTTTATTATTTTGAAGTATTATTTTTGTGTTTTGTAGAAGTAGGAGCATGGAGTCAAAGCCAATAGGCATGTGCAAAAGCGTACAGGTGGTTGAAACTAAGTGTGAGGTACCCGCAAAAGGGATCATACCTGGGAGAAGTCTGAGTATCCCGTGAGCTGCTAGTACTTCAGCCTTTGGTCTTTCAGGGAGTTTCTTGTTCACCCTTGTTATTTTTGCTTTATTTGTGCATTGGGGACACTGCACTCTTTTAAGTGTGGGGTGGAAGATTCTCTGTGATTTATATAGTATTATATTAGTATATTGTTAAGTTTTTTTTTCTTTTTATTGTTAGCTAGCTTCTTATTTTAATTGCATAGTTACTAGAATTAATGGAGTACTAGTAGTTTTAGTAGATTAATTTTTTAAAAAAAAATCAAAAAACTCAAAAATAAAAAAAATTGGGACTTTTCCCGACGATGGATCTCCTAGACAGTTTTCTTGAGGGATTAAAGTCTAAACAAAAAAATACAAAAATATGGCTTTTAGCTTTCTTTAGGTAGTAATAATCCCCCGTGGTTTTTCTTTGTGCCTCGGTTCTTTTCCATGGGATGTAGTTTGAACCGGGTAGTAGCATTTATTTTTTATTTTTAGAGTAGATTAGAATTTAGGGAATAAATGGAGGAAGAATGATGAACCTAGGCGCCCTTGACTTGTTTGATAGTAGCATATTTAGGCTTTGGCATGT